CTCATTCTGATATAAGCGATGAAGTTTAGACTTTTTCCGAAGTTTCTTAATAATAGAACCATTAAACCACGGAGGATATTTTCTTTTATTACTTACAGTATATTTAGGTATACACTGATCTAGTATATTGTATAATTTACCATAAAAGTACGTGCAGGCATCTTCAGCATCATAGAAAACCTCTAAAAAATCCCAATTCACAGTAGATAACATTTCATACAAGAGTGGAAAATTTGCTTTACGAAAATTGTAGCAATTCGTGTAAGATGATTCAAGATTTTTCTTATATTGCTTTTTTTCGTTTATTCTACAAGTAATTTCTAAAGCCGGATGATATTTATCTTCTACCAAAGGTTCTAAAGATTTTTCAACCAAACAGAAATGTTTATAATACATCAAGTCTAAGAGCTTATTGTAATCATTGAATACAAAGTTATGTTGAGTCAAATCTAGAACGTCGGCAAAATTATTTAAGCTATTTAATTTAAGATTAGTTTGAATTTTAGATACATAATTTTTAACAGACAACTAATAAAATTTACGAGTGGACCAATATATCCCGCATTAGGATCAACAAAACTAAAACAGTTCAGGATAACTTCACTAGTAAAAGATCAGTAAAATATCTACCAGTGATATTAAATGATACTAGAATACCATATTTTAATTCGGCGAAATACTTAGGTATGAATCTAGATAAAGTGGAAAAAACACATAAAGAAAAAACGGAAAAAATTAGATATTAAATATAAGGAATCATACTATACTGGTTGTTTTTTTTTGTGTGTCATCGGCTTCAACTGCTAAGGTTATTTCGCCTCGTGTTCCATGCAGGCTTTGTAACTGTTTCCCAGTGCCACTTTAGGAACAGCATTGTTAATTAGAACCCAACAGTGAATGGTCGAGTGGGGAATCATACCAAGGCATCGGAATTAATTTTAAATCATTAAATTAAATGAAAAAATTCCGGCCAACGGTGGGATTCGAACCTGGGACCCTTGGATCCACAGGCAGAGACTCTACCACTGAGCCACCGACCCCCCTCATACTGGTTGTTAAAAAGAAAATCGAAACTTTCAATCGAAAATAAACTTTTAAAATATAAATAAATTCTGAAGCGAGTATGGACTTACTGCATAAAGCTCTAGGGGTATGCCAGCAAAAATAACATAAATATAACACGTTTCCAGAACAAAAAATTAAGGGCAATAGTAAACGCTACTACGTATGTAAGGAACTCAGGCTCTCACAGAGATCTAAGAATGCCTACAGTCAAAGAATAGGAGAAAACCATCGCAAAAAACATGAAAATTACTGCATGATCACGTCAATATTAAAGTTCTACAGTTCCCAAACAACCGGTACATGATGAAAAGGCTCAGAAGGACGAAATAATTTGAAATGTTGATGTGAAAGTATTGTTACGCAGCACCCTGTAGCGTGCTGCGGTCGTCATAAATAAAGGTACGAGTAAATAAAGAAGATAGAATATTCCCGAAATTTCTCGAAATGTCATTCCTTGTCAAAGGAAAGTCCAGATTGTTCGAGAAGGTTTTAGAAGGTCGAGGCAAACTATATAAGTCGACGACCTGACGTCAGTTGGCAGTTTTATTATAAACGCTAAACGTTGTTATCAGTTAAAGTTATTGTGTCAGTTGACTTGAGTTATTGTAAAAGTTGAGTTCAAATAAATTGTGATACCAAAAACCAGCGTAACATTGGTGACAGCGGTGGGATATAAAATAAACGTTACTCAAACACACTATCTATGGTAAATACCAGATCCACTATGCACGAAGCGGATATGGATACGTCAGGCCCACCAGCATGGTTTTTAAAGATGGAAGAGGAGAGAGTAAGGCGAGAAGAGGAAAAGGAAAGGTGTAGGAAAAAAGAAGAGGAGGAAAAGGAAAAGCGTAGGAAGGAAGAAGAGGAGGACAATGAAATGCATAGGAAGGAAGAAGAGGAGGAAAAGAAAAGGCGAGAAGAGGAGAAGGAGGAGAGGCATAGAAAAGCGGAGGTGGAGATTATAAATTGCTTAGTGCAAATCCAGAAAACCTTCAAGCAAGAAGTTGGTCAGCTTAAAATTGGAATAGCTCTGTTAGAACAGCAGCAAGATAATATAAAAAGTAATTTAGAGCACTTAAAAACGAATTTAGAATTGGCTAAAGAGAAGTTGGAAAGGCGGATTAGAGCTGAAATGGCTGAGTTAGAGAAAAGAATTCGCGGCCAAGCTTCGATAAACAACAGAGAAGCTGAAAACACTACCTCGTCCTCATCTGTAATCGAACCAAGCCATATTCAACACCCAGTTTCACAAATCCATACTAGCAAAATCATTAAGCCACCCACGTTTGACGGTCAGACAACATGGGAAACGTATCGCCTCTATTTTGAAACTGCAGCTAGAGCAAATGGCTGGGCTGAAAAGAAGGCGGCTGCATTGATAGTGTTGCTGCGAGGACAAGCAGCAACCGTTTTACAGTTACTCCCTCAAGAAGAACCCAGTTATTCATCTCTCGTCCAAGCTTTGGAGACAACATATGGCCAGCAGCATTTGAAACGGATATTTTAAAGCCAGCCAAAGATTCTTAGTCAGAAACATAATGAGAGTCTACAGGAATTCGGGGCTGACATAAGAAGATTGATTCATCTGGCCTATCCGCAGGCGCCCAAAGATTTCCAGGAACAAATCGGAATAGAGGCATTCATTGATGGACTACAAGATGCGGAAATGCAGCAATTTTTTCGTCTACAACATCACAAGACGCTGAAGGAGAAACTGATTGCAGTCCAGGAATATGAAGCGGTAAAACACATATCCATATCTTTCGGCGCAAAAATGAGAGAAATTAAATCCCAGGAAAGTGAGGACCCCAATGCTAATGCTATTCCCCAACCTACTCTCTCGCAAATATTAAAAATCCTGCCAAATATACAACGAAATAGCCAAAATAAGAACAGATGATGCTTCAATTGCGGAAGAATCGGGCACCTTCAGAGAACCTGTAGAAGCAGAGCTCGTTCTATGAATAAATAATCAGGGAATGAGGCCAGAAAGTCACAAAGATCAATCTTCCGAAGCCCGTCACGAAGTCTAACAAGAAATAGTCACAGCAGCTATGCATCCCGAGGTAGCCAATCACCCACACCAAGCCGGTTTTCTAGAAATAATCAGGAAGTAGAGCATCGTAGAGGCCATCTGTACAGCAACACAGAAATTCTCTCCAGGCGATCCTGTTTAGAACGAGAATACCGGTATAGTAAGAGACTCGGAGAACGGGAGCAACGAGTTGATAAAGTTACCCTTCGGGCAACCACTATTAAACTAGAGGGAGATGAAGACGAAATCACATTTGAAAGCCTGAGAAAGGGGCAGAAGAAAGACAATGATTTGACAGTTGTTCGAGAATGGCTCAAAAATAAAGTTACACCTACTTGGAAAGAGATTGCCAAATACAGTGGAGCTATTAAAGGGTACTGGACTCAGTGAGATTCCCTGTATCTTCATGATGGCCTATTGCACTGGAAGTGGGCAAGTCCTGATGGAGTACATGTAGTCCGCCAAGTGGTACTGCCAAAATCACTTGTCAGAAGTGTGTTGGAGGAACTTCATTGTAGCCATTCGGGATGACATTTTGGTACTAAAAGAACACTGGCACGAGTTCGAGAAAGATTTTATTGTGTCAATTGCCGACGGGATGTAGCGGATTGTTGTAACAAATGTGATGTATGAAATGGCAGGACAAATGTCTACGGATTTGCTCGGGAACGACTGGAAGCCAACAGCGATAAAGCGGAGGCTAGAATCGACAGGCGTGCTACAGAGACACATTTTGAGAGAGGTGACCCAGTACGGCTGTACACTCCCAAGCATCGAGGAGGATTTTGCCAGAAATCGCAACGGAACTGCGAAGGCCCCTACGCCGTCCTTAAGGAAGATTAACGACCTGATCTACCGCATTCAGCTGTCAGCGGGAAGTAAATCCAAGGTAGTTCACATTGGGAAGTTAAAGAAATGCCGCCAGATCCTTCCAGTTAGCTCTAACCAGGTCCCAGTAATTGAGTTATTCGGGGCGAATAACTAGAGAGGAGGAAACAAAATAAAGAAGAGAGAATATTCTCGAAATGTCTCGAAATGTCATTCCTTGTCAAAGAAAATTACAAATTGTTCGAGAAGGTTTTAGAAGGTCGAGGCAAGCTATATAAGTCGACAACCTGACGTCAGTTGGCAGTTTTATGATAGACGTTAAACGTTAATGTTATCAGTTAGTGTCAGTTGAATTGAGTTATTGTAAAAGTTGAGTTCAAATAAATTGTGATACCAAAACCAGCGTAACAATAAGTAAAAGCAGAGCACAGTGCGCATATGGAGTGTATAGTTCATTAGAATAGAAAAAAAAACCATTGGGTGAACTCTTAGTTTTAAGTCTCTTAAGTTTACTTAAGTATAGCAAACTAACAAATAAAACATGCATATTGTTTCCAAAATATACACGTATATCAAGAAAAGAATTGCGCATATTTGGAAAAGCTCTACAGAGAATATACTACTGCTGTCTGACGTCTACTACATAAAAAAACTGTTTTGAAAAAAATAAAATGATATAGACTTAATGCGTATAATGTATGTGCATGTGTATAATGGTCTAATATACAGTTATCAAGTCTAGGCAGTCAGTCATTTGTCTTCTAGGTACCTACATTTCTTTTAACAGAAATTTTATTTTTGTTAATAAGCACAATATAACTTACAGCGAACCATATAAATTAAAAATCAATTAACCTAATATAAATTTCGAACTATTTAAATTAATTCTTGGATTTAGACAAATTTTAAAAAAGAAATGTGTGTTAAAAAAAATCCCTATTACAATCTTTTGATTAGTTTTTGGTTACAAAATTAATGGTTTACAAATATTTTTTGTTGAAACCCGAAAATATTTCATTTTCTTTCGTGAAAGTGGTGTTAACTCATAAATTAAACTAAATTAACTTACCGTCTGCATCAACTTCATCTATAATTTCTTTTAACATGGAGTCTGTGGTTTGAATACCAAGCATACTTAAGATAGTTCCAATCATCACTGTGCCAATACTGCCCTTTTTCTCTACATCAAATGTGTCAAATGCATTTTTAAGCACTAAAAAATAAATACATACCATGTTAGAAAAAACATACATTTTTTATAAAACATATGGATGTTAGTTGAGTTTTATTTTTGTTTAAAAATTGATCCTTATAAAGGTACACCCTAAGCAATATGTTTTCGTAAACGATTTTAAACTGTCGAAGTCTTCACTAGTTTAACCGTTTAAGAAATAAAAAAGTGTCATTGCAGAACAAAGAGATTCAAATATCTCTAGAACAAAGATATATAATATATCTAATTTAATAAAATGAAATTAAAACAATAAGCCAAAAAGCTTTTCTATTATCGAAGAAAACAGACAAATGAGCCTAGGAAAAAGTACGGAGATATAGTCGAGTAGCGCCGAAGTAATGAGTAAAAAACCGAGACAGTAATATGCATAAACACCAAATTATCAAATAGTGTTATGTAAAGTGTTTGTAAGTTAAACTCAGTCAAAACATGACCTACCAAATGTTCAATTTAAAGTATCTACATTCAATTTAGTTCTCATTTTAAGAGTCATATTCCAACCGATCCCTTACTTAAAATTGTCAGGGGGTTGCGAGCAGTTTCAAATTTCACACTTGACGAAGGCGTGTCTGTAGATTGTTTATCCCTTTCCTACTTAAAGCATTATTAGAGTGAGAAACTATTCGGTCTCCTGCGAGAGACTTATCAGGACAGGAGTTAGTTTATTTACGTAGGCTGCGCGATTTATTCATTAATTATATTTTTATTGTGGTTGTGTCGTAATATTTAAAGACGTTTGAAATAATTTAGAAATGTATAAGTTACAATAGAAAAAAGAATCATTTCTTCGTAAGGGAAATAAGGTCCATCTAAGATTAAGTACAAAGAGACGATAGCGTAAACATTTTCCTTCAAGAAAAGAGGTAAAAAATAAAACTAATCTTATTTATTTATAATTACATAAATTTTTCAATTACACCTTACACTAATTACATCAGAGAATCTGACTGTAACAAAATAATTTAAAAGTATAGTGAGGTTCAGGTAGGTTTTATTATTAATATATTAATAAATACCTAATCAAATTATATGTTCATGAAATTTTCACCAAAAATCTAAAATATGAAATTCTAGAGCTGATTGCTTTTTGAACAAAATCGGAACGTAGGAAGAATGTTTTAGGGGGGTTTAAATTTTTGCAAAAATATTAAAGTAGATCACTATTTTTATTTTTTTAAATATTAAATTTATTCAAACAAATTGAAATAAAATTTTACAAAGGCCTTTTTTTTATTCACAATGTTAACTCATTGATGTACGTTTTCTGGAGTGTTCAATGTTTAAATAGTCATACAAAAAAATTTATTTTTCTTCAAAACAAACTCATTGATGATCGTTAGAAGGGGTTTTAAAAGATAAAAATAAACAAAAAGGTCATGTGATATTTTGAATATTTATTTATTATAATAAACTCTATTTCCTCGTAAAATTAAAAGTGTAAGTTAAGGGGGGTCTTGTTAAACTTTAAAAATGAAAAAAAAAAAATCGTTATGTAAATATGAGATTTACAATTTCAATAAAGTCATTGTTGTGGAGTTTTAGGATGTTGAAAAAATGAGACCTTCAATTTTCCCATTGATCTATGCACTTAGACGGAAAGTAACATAATGCTAGTTTTTATTTTTTTAATATAAAAAATGCCAAAAGCTGTTATAAAATATCTTACGTTTTTATATTTTAGAAAAGAGTTAAAGAACAAGTTGCAGATAAAAATGTGCTAGAGTCAATTTATAATCCTTATTACAAAACTTTAATAATTTTAGAAGGTCGACGTGTAGTAGAATTAAACTATTTCATAAACTCACTAATAAGTTTTTCTAATCATTTGACTGAATTCGATTGTTCTCTTTTAAATATGGTCATACAGAGAGAAAAAATGAAAGGTCTCATTTCTAATCTACATGTTAAATGTAGCATGTGCAATATGGCATTTCAAATTACAACCTCGCAAGAAAATGTAAATAAAGATGCAGTGATAGGTGTAACGTCAATCCGCTCAGCATTTGCTCATTTGGAACAAATTAGTGCTTCTTTAGACATACCATGTATGTCACAGAGACTTTACAGTAAAGTTCACGATAAAATTTCTGACGATTTGGAGGAAACGAGTATGCAAACAATAAAAGACGCTGCCGAAGAAGAGCGAAGGTTAGCAATTGCTGAAGGTGAGGTGGACAAGAATGGAACACCTTTAATAACCGTCGTTGTAGATGGTAGTTGGGCAAAACGTTCCTACGGAAGCAGCTACAACTCGTTATCAGGAGCAGCAGCAATAGTTGGCTTTAGAACGAAAAAAGTGCTATTCTTTGGCGTGCGAAATAAGTTTTGTACGCTTTGCAATTTTTCATTAAACAAAAATGAAGAATACAGAATGGCGCATAGATGTTATAAAAACTGGTCTGGCTCTGCAGCAAGTTTGAAAGCGGATATAATAGCGGAGGACTTTCAAAAAAAGTGTGGCTATATACAATTTGATATACTATAAAGTCATCGCTGATGGAGACAGTAATACTTACAAAAGGGATACTAGATATTCATCCATATTCCCAGGTCCTATTGAAAAAATTGAATGTAAAAACAAGTTACTGCGCAACTACTCCAAAAAAATTAGAGAATTAGTTAAAGATACAAAAGCTGGACCTTTGATCCTCATGAGAAAAGTAGAGGTATATCTTTTTGTTTTTTCTTTAATCACTAGCGGATTTCATTATCAGATGGGAAAAAAACAGTTTTATTTTTATGCCAGTGTCATTTATTAGTTTATTACTCTTATATTTTTATTTATAAATAGTCTACATAAAAAGTAGTTATTAATAATTAAATAATTTAGCAACTTTAGAATTTTACTGACCGAGAGTAAGAAATATTTATTTAAATTTTAGCAAAATCAGATTTTATTGAGGATGGCAGTTAATAAATCCATACAACATTGGAAAGATGACGAAAGTTTGTCTGTTTCACAAAAAAATCGAAAATTTAAAGAGGGATATTGTGGGATCTTTTAAATGTTAATAATAATACTCTCCGTAATAATTGTATCCCATCAATAAATAAAAATGTACTTATAAGAGTATAATTTCGTATAATAAAACTCGATGTCATGACATGTATATAAATTATCAAAAAAAAAAAAAAACAAAAGTCATAATTATAAATAAACAATTCTTGTTTCCCTCCCGATGAGTTCAACCTTTCGTCTTGCTAGAACTGCCACGAAAGGTTGTCTAAATGATGACAACAATTTAATTCGTATGACGTAATAAAAATGATAAAGATATGTAGTGCATGTCGCTACAGATATAAACAACTCATTAAATCACGTGTTTGGGGAACACAAAGAATGTAAATCTATAGGATATTTTTGTAATAGGCCCTTTAAGCCAACAGAAACTGTGATGAAAAATTTACAATTAACTGGCAAGTAATCAGAATTTTTTAAATTTATTTATCATATCATTTTTGTTTTGTTTCAGAACTTTACGAAAAGTTGTCCAGTTATAAAAATTACCATATTCGACACGCTATATGATGTAGATAGCAACAGTGTGGAGCAATTCATTTCTATAATAGCGAAATTTATAGGAGGCAAAAGAATGAATTATTGCAAAAAAAGAACTTATCAAAGTAGATGTGCAGCAGCCGTTATAAGCTGTAATACAAACAGACCTATTTACACCTTAAAAAAATATTTTAATAATAGTTCTTCTACTAAGATTTCATCAAAACTTGAACTTGGACAAATTGAAAAAAAAAAAAAAAATAGAAAAGCTAAGCCAGGAGTTTGTCGAAAGTTAAAATTTGCACAAAAAACAAATTTACGGATGGATGTAAAAGTTACGGTCAGAAATGTGAAAAACCTCACATGACTGACTCAGAATATTTAGAAGCTAAAACTAAATTTCTAGAAGAAATTAAAAAAAATAATGAAGAAATCTTAGAAATAGAAAAGTTAGCACGGGAGCAGGCAGATTGCGATATTTGGATTTTGGAAAGAAGAAAACTGACTGCTGCTATGTTTGGATCAGTTTGTAAAAGAAGCTATCTTGCACATAAAGGTATTTTTCTCAGCGGCTTGCGATTATGGCAAAAAAAAATGAAAAAGTAGCAATAGAGCAACTACAAAAAACTATTGGTAAACTGATTAGAAAATGTATTCTTTTCATAGATGAGGAAAGTTCTTTTTTAGCCGATACTCCTGATGGCCTAATAGATGACAGAGGCATTGTTGAAATTAAATACCTATATTCACCACGGAATATGATGCCTGAAGAAGGTATTGAAACAAAAAAAATTACCTTTTGGTCGAAAAACGGCGATATTAATAAAATGCATCAGGTGCAAGGACAACTGCAAATTTCCAGATGATCACTGTGTATTTTCTGTTCCTGTTCCCGTAAAAAGCATGAAACCAGTTCTTTGTCAGTTTTATTTTGACTGTATTTTACTGGGAGTTATAGATTCTAGAAAAATCTAGAAATATGCCTATTAAAAAATCGAAATAGATATTAGCGGCTGTAAAAAAAATAAGAAGAATCAGAAAGAAACACCTTAGACAATAACTGTGTACCAAGTTTCAAAATTATATTATTTTAGTTTTAGTTTTCTTAGTCATAACTTTGTGTTATTTTTTTTATTCATATATAATATTATATAAGTGCCTCCATGTTTAATATTTTCGGTATTGTTGCAACATTTTTGTTCCGATAAACTATTCAAATATCGTTTTCTTTTTGTTTTTCTACTTTATTGAATATTTAAAATAAATTGATAATGATGTTTTGTTTATTATTAATTAGACCTACAAACGGCTTCTTCCTCTGTTTTAATCAGTTTGTAATTTTATAATTAAAAAAGAATAAAAAAAAATTATACAGTTGCACACAAATTAGTATATACCCCACTAAATACTTTAATTAATAGAGGGCTTATAAAAATTTTTAGTCCTTTTAAAATGAAAAGCTCGATCGCATCTATTAGTTTTGTTGTTAATAGATTTCAGTGCGGAGGGCGCCACATTACGGTTAGAAAAATGTTACTTGCAGAGGGTCAGGCCGTGCGCGATTACTAACTTATTTTTTGACTTTTTTGAAGAAAAAACATTTTAGTATAAAGTTAAAGGTATAAGTGTATTTTCAGAACATACAATAATCCTTTCGCCTGCAAACTGTAATATCGGCGCAAAAGTTGTGAGAGGATTTCTCAACTAGTTAGAAATACTCTCACTTGTGGCGTTCGAACTGGGTGTGCTCGGGCGCCAGTTTGTTTTAGAGTGGTTCGTTCCACTTTACCTATTGGAACAAGTTCCAAAAAGGGCTGCAGGTAGCTGTGTGTAGAAAAAAAATTCCAAAGGGTATTACGGATATTGCGGTAGTTATGTAGTACCTGAAAAGAGATTTACCACAAGAGAATGAAATGTCAGGTTGCAGTTTGATACATACATTGAAATCAGAAAAACTACGCGTCGTTATAGCAATTCTACGATTTTCGTCAGGGTAAACTTTCGGAATCTCGTGAATTTTTTGTCTAAGCGTCCTAGAGCTTCTATTTGGTTATCCCTAAAGCGCGGAGAATGTAGGGACATGGCGATGAGTGAACGGGAGTAAAAGTAATCTGTGGAAAATAAATTGCAAAACAAGCTACAGTCTAATGGACCTGGCGACGTAATCCATGAGGATGACGCTCCAGGCTGTTTAACCTCGTATAAACCAGACTCTGGGAGCGAAGCCGATTCAGCCCATTCTACTACGCGAGATAGTCACTGTACATCGACTTACAATTCAGAGTCCAGTTAACTGCTCGGGAATTCACTAGAAGTCTAACTACTTATTGGAACAAGTGTCAGAATTAAAAAAAATACAGAGATTGTTATTCGTGGAGCTAGAAAACTTTGCTAGATAGATACAGACTTGTAATAAATGGCAGTAAAAGTAGCTAAGCTCCACTTCTGTTCAATAGCAATTCCGGAACATATTATTTGAGTTGGTTACCAAATTAGCCCATTCTGCTGCGGGAGTAGTCACTGTCTTTATTAACGACTCAGATAATTTTAATATCGGAATGTACAAATAAGAAGTTCTTAGGAACCCTAACACGGCCTAACAGGAATTGAAAGGAACGGGAACCAAATCAATTTTTACTTAATGAATTTTCAAGAAATTCATGTTATCCCAGTTGAAAGAATTTAAAAATTAAAATTGAAACAGTATTGCTCAAAGCTCAAACCACTTCTACATTAATCACCCACCTGGTATAAACATTTTCAAACTAATATTTATAAAAGTAACACGAACTAAATTATGCACAATCCCTATATAAATATTTTCAAAACCAATATTTAAAAGTTTTAGTTTTACGGTTTATTCAGTATAAATATTTCTTAAACAAATCAAATTCTATTTATTAAAGAAAATAACCCGAGCTAATATTTTCTTAAAATTAATTAAATTATTTTAAACGGTTCTCAACAATGTGAAATTAGAAGATAAAATTCGGATTTGTGCTTCGAAAATACTGAAAAGTTTGTAATAAAAAAAAAAATTAATAAAAAGAAAATATAAACAGTATAGAAAATGAAATGATTCCTTCTGATTTTACTCGGTTTTCGGGACACATGGCTAAATAAATGTACGGAAATATATTATTTGCCTATATAAATAGTGTAAATTGGAAAATAATTTAAATTGAAACAAAATCAAAGCGAGGATCGGAGACTAAATTAACTTTATCTGCAAATAACTCATTGCGGCGAAAGAATTCTTACGAATGCTCTCGTTTTAACGTTTTGACCATCGTTCTCCTCTCTGCGTCGATTTTGGGTGAGCGGTAATCTGACAGTGGGGACGCAATGAATTTACAGAAATATAAAATTTAACACCCGATTAAAATTAAATAGAAAATTATTTACAAACTTCAGAAAATAATAATTTAAAAATCAGATAACTTTAAGGGTTGATCCAGTTAATTAAAAATAGAAATAAATTTTTAGTTTATTATAAAGTGTAATGTTCGCTCTATAGAAAATTATTTCAACCCCATACAAAAGATAATACTTCTCTCAGCATTGTTGGTTGCATAGATAGAAAATAATAATTAATGTAAACAATTTGTTGTTAGGTTAGTCCTGATGGTTGTTACAGTAGATTAGTTTAGATTAGAATATATTCGAAAGGCATTGTCCTTGTCCACCGCGACCTTTTCAGATCTATTGTGGAACACGTTATTTACAGATTGTCATCTAAATTGGTCATTTTTATTAGACTTATTATTTTTGCCAACGGCTCCCTCCAACGAATCCCGCTTGTGTCTCTCTTCTTTAACCTACTTTTTGAAACCATAATCTTGACAGTCCTTTATACTGACACAGGACGTGGATTATAATGCTTCCTCTACTTTTTTACAGAACTTGCACAATGTTACTTCTTCTGCTAAATTGATTACACATTCATGTGCCCTCTTGGCGACAATGTCCGGTAAGAAATTTTAATGATTTGTCGTTTTTGATCCAGTAGGTCTTTCGTGAACTTGGTCGAGGATTTCTTTATAAAGTTTTAAGTCTGTCTCAATACTGAATAGTTGTTACACCATTCCTTAGACTCTTTTGGCATTCATTGTTTAAACAATGCCTTGCACAATGCCTTAAAAACTCAACAAAAGAGATCGAAAATCGTTATGGCTTAATCTGAGCCTTCTTGGGTCACTTCGTCAGTCTTTTCATGGCCTAGTACTAAGACTAAGGTCACTTTGTTCTGACTATTTAGTTCTGCCAGGCCTTCTAGGCAGGCTTTCACCAGTCGTGATTTAATTTTTCATTAGATAATTATTGCCTCTAAAGCCGCTTGGTTATTAGAGTAGATGGCAAAGGTTTTGCCTAACTCTAACTTATAATTTATATAGCCCAGTGTTGTATGGCTATTATTATTATTATTAGTTCGGCCTAAAATTATGTTGCGTATTCTCCTGGATTCGGCAATTAACAAGCTCTAAATACAATCAACAGATGGTTCGGGAGGGAGCAGATGTTTGTGAACCTCCGTAAAACTATTATCGTCCCCTTTACTAAGAGAAGAAAGCTCAACAAGCTTCAACAAGCTACATCGTCTGGGAAACCATTCTATTTGAGAAGGAGGTAAAATATCTGAGGATCATCCTAGATAAGAAATTCTCCTGACAGCCCCAATTGGATAAAACCATGAACAATGCTAGATGATCCCTCTGAACCCTTAGATAGATATGCGGCGAAGCATGGGAGGATCAGATCCTAACTGATTTACTGGATTTACTATTTATGGTGGTAATAACCATGGTTGCGTACGGCTCTGTCATTTAGTAGGACAAGGAAGTTCAATGGACGGCTAGAGCAGAGCTGGCTGAAATTCAACAGATTGCGTGCCTCACCATAAATGACGCAAACTTAGCCACAACGACAGCAGTCATACAGACCATGCTGGACCTAACCTCTCTCCAAATTTTGCTGGAAAGGAAGGAATTGCAAAGAGCACTGCCTCTGCTTAGATCGAAGAATGAAGTAAGAAATATCTATGGATTTTAACGGGAATATTGATAGGACATTGTCGCCTTGGTAACCACATAAGAAGGATAGGTCTGCAAAAAATATCGGATGGTCGATTCTGGAGCGTGAAAGACGAATCTGCAGAACATATTTTATGTACCTGCTCCGCTTTGGAAGAACCAGGTTCCAGATTTTTGGATTCACCCGACTGGAGCCTACCGACTTTAAACAAGTATCACCCAATTCGACCATGACCTTCGTCAAAAGATGTGGCTTGTATGGTAAACTATAAGTTAGTTATGATCCACAAAATATCGATCTGGGTCGCAGTGGAAGGCGATGAGACCATACCACTAATTTTCAATCTAACCCAACCTAAGCTCGTTGTGTTAGATACGATTCTAGCATCGCCTCCTTTTTTGATTTTTGAACCGTTTGTATACCAGACGAATGTAGGATATGGCTATATAAGTAGGCATTTCTAGAATATTACCTTTTTTTAATTGCTGGTATAGCCTTGTGTGGTCAACGTAATGTAGTTAGCTTATTTGGTTTTGTCCTTGCATTAACCTGTGAAAGATAGACCTGGTTTCCCTTTTTAAGAATATGTGCAGTGGCGTCAGGTTTACTAAATCTTCCATTTCTGCAGTTGGTGTAGTAAGGATGGCCCCAGTGGTACTCAGATAGACGAGCTGCTGAATGCCCGTAAGTTGCCCTATTGCACTTACCTGCACATTTTTGACTACTTACACCACTGCGCCATGTTATCATGAAGTTTATCGCCCTTGTGTATAACCATATAGTCATTTTGTCCCAGTTTTTTCCGAACGTTCTTCTACAGTTGAGAGCTATTCTA